TCGAAATGGTAGATCCAACTCTCGTCCCTATTGATATCGAATACATGTTTTGAAGTTTCTCCGTCGAATCGTTTCAGCATTTCATTCCACCAGATGAAAAACCCACCGACTCCAAACTTTCCTCACGTGGAGTGACTGATGCAAAATCTTGGAAATCGCTGCCGATCCAATCCCTAGGGTGGTCTCCATTGTTGCATAGGTGAAGTGTGGGTCATTTAACTTGCGTTCAACAAGCGACACGTTTTCTACCGTTACTGCAGTGGCAGGTCGTCCTGTTCGAGTTTCGCCTGTGAGCAAATCTCTACCTCTGCGAAATTCAGAAAACCAAGGGAACACCGCAGCTCGTGAAGGGGAAGCATCCCCGAACTCAGTACGTAACCGCTCAAGTCTCTGCAACTCACTTAAACCACTTTCAAAATCGTGAAGAATCATTGCACGATAATGATCTCTTTTCAACTCCATTGCAACTAAAATCCCGACAGTTGAGTCAGAATAAAATTATATAACTTCTAAAGAACACGTTGCTTCAAGTTGAAACTTGCACCGCCTACTCATTGATATATGAGGTACAATGTATATGCTCTAAAGGTATTGATGCCATTCAAATAGATTCTTTGCATCAACTAACATTCAGTGTAACCCTCGTATACCTCAAGTAAATCTGCAATCAAGGTCTTCATACCNGTCGTTTCTGGAGGGTGTAGGGCCGCATCTTGAGGTCGTATTGGACTAATTTCCTCATTGTCGTAGCACCCATGCTGGACTCCTTGGCCATCTGAGTCATGCTCCTCTGTGGATTCCAACGAATCTTGTCTCTGTTGGACCTGATGGCCTCAGGGGTACATTTGGACTATGGACGACCACTCCTCGGACGGTCAGCAGTTGAGCCTGTCTCACTGAACCGTTTCAGCGTCTTCCAGACAAATTTCCTGTCGATGGCGAGGCCCCGAAGTTCCTTCACAACCTCGCTGGGACTCTTTCCAGCATTGTGCAGCTGCAGAACTGCCTCTCTCTTGGCCTCCATTTCCAGAAGGAGAAATCCAATATTTTGTTTGTTTTTTTTTGCGGAGCCAACAGAGTATAAACAAACTAAAGAAATTGTTGGAACATTTTTCCTTCACTCCTACAACCACACAAACGAAAAAGAATATTGATGTTCCAGAACTTTGGGCGGACCCGGTAATTGTTGTTGACTTAGGCATAGTCAGCGCGTTCCAATCCTGTCCCGCAGTGTTGTCGGATATCATGTTGGAGTTATGTCGGATTCTGATTGCTTCTGGCTTCATATTGGTGTCTGAATCTTCTGTTTTTCTTTGTTTAGTTCATGGGATGAGCTACATTTGAAGCGGTGGTCGATGTGGTTGGATATTGGAGATTTCCTGCACGTACATTCTTGAATAAGCAGGAAGGATGGATAAATGGATTTCTATCTGAAAGAATTCTCCCCTCAAACCTTGTCGACTCGAGAAAATCCGTTAAGGTCCAACGTTACCTTTCCTTCACGAGATGTGTGGGAGACCCAGAGATCGAAATTCATAAATTGTTTTTCATGCCAATTCATGAGAGGCAATTCCGAAAATATGACGTACATCCAAGTGTTGACGGGAAGAATGTTTTCATTCTTCGCACACATTGAACGATGACGGGAAACTTCTGCTGTTCCTCTAGCTATAAATCAATGAGTTCATTCTGCAGGATCCTTCGATTGAAGCCCAATGATTCGAGCTCCTTCATCTCAGATGGTGATGTTCCACGTAGGTTCTCAACGATGCAGAACCCCACGAAATGTCCTGAAGGACTGGAGGTGTGACTTTCCTTCCGCCCGAAGCTCCGAGATGTAGGTGGTGGAGTTTATTCACTTAGTACTCACCATGCACCTATTGTACCTACCACCCAACCTGGTCCATAACTCTCAGCTTTCTTCGGGAAATAATTTATTTCTCCCGATGATTAGACGCAGGCTTTCTTTCTCCTCGTTAGAGAACGAGGAGAGAGAAAGTGTGCTTTTTCTTTCTCCTCGTTCTCTGCTTCCTCTGGAAGAGTGCGTTACAAGCTACAATAGTACGGTCTTTGAAAACCTTAACATCCACGAATTAGTTTATTTTCTCACCAGAGGATGTACAGTTTTAGAGAAGCTCTGGTTCCGGTTTCAATGTTTATTACTTAGGTGGGAGGGCTAAGAAACTGGTAAGCTAAATGATATAACTGCAGTTGCGGCAGGAACTACCGAGAGTGTAACTAAAAATAAAGTAAAAGGACTTCTAACAAGACAACCTACAAGTTCCTTTCAACTTGTTAACTAATCCTTTTTTAATTTTAATTCCTTTGGACGGGGAGACGGAGCAAAATACACACTCTTACTTCGTGCGCACATACCATCGACCAGGTCTTCCTTCTCCTTTTCTCCGTTCCTTCTTTGAATTCAAGCTTCATGGACTCGCATTAGTCATTCCCTTTGTATCTACAAAACGGAGATTCAATGTTTTCCGCATCGCCAGGAAACTGGAGTTAGAAATTTCTGAAGCGAATCTGTGTTCAGAGGGTAAGAATCTTCCCCAATTGCTTTTAGTGCGAAGCCCTGATAAAGAAATTTGAGTAGATGGAATCTTGTACAGGGAAGGGGTAAAAAAAAAGGAAGAGGCTCTACTGGACGTCTTCATTTCCTTAGAGGCAATAGATTAATTGTTAATTTCTTGGGAGGACTTGTAGTCGCCCAAGAATCATCTCTAAGATAGACCAGACCAGCCATTGACTTTAGGGAGATTCCTGAAAATGTGGTTTTTGAGGACATTTAATTTGAAAGATTGTTTTCCCTATGGCAAAAAGGCTTCACACAATTCTTCATTTAGTTTTCCGAAGTTTATATTGTGAGAATCAAAGTGCGAGTAATCCAGGGAAAAATTATTTGCGAGTTCTAGACTGATGGCATCAGAAATTTATTTTAATCTAATGTTTACATGTAAGAATATTAGGCCACTACGCTCAACCAGCACGGAATCAGGCCTAAATAGGCCTCGTAAGCCATAGTCTTATGAGAGCAGAAGTGCACTGGGACTTCTCTCTACGGATCCACGACGTTTTTCTTGCGCAGAATAGAGACTTAAAGGTATTTAATAATTGTTTTACTTTTACCATCCTTATGGAATTCGCGAAAATTGAAACAAAGGCCATGAAGGTTTACTGCCAAAAAGTATCACTTGACGCGGATCCCACATTTTTCACAATAGCCTAGTTCTCAATCAAATGTAGTCCAACTTGTTTTCTTTCTTTCTGTCAACTTATTTTCATTTGACAAGGCATCGGTCATGGAATAGCAAAGAGGGAAACAATAAAGGAGACAGACAGGAAGCGGAAATTGGAACGAGGAAATCGTACATATTCGGGTGACCGAATTAATTGCGCTGGGGCGTGGCCGATTGCATAAAGTCCTCACGCGTCACCTCCCATCTCATCAGTCGAAGAGATGGCCGGGTTCCAGTTCAAGTATATCGTCGCGGTAGCCTTAGCATTCGGGNAGAGAACGAGGAGAGAGAAAGTGTGCTTTTTCTTTCTCCTCGTTCTCTGCTTCCTCTGGAAGAGTGCGTTACAAGCTACAATAGTACGGTCTTTGAAAACCTTAACATCCACGAATTAGTTTATTTTCTCACCAGAGGATGTACAGTTTTAGAGAAGCTCTGGTTCCGGTTTCAATGTTTATTACTTAGGTGGGAGGGGATTCTTTGACCATTCGATTTACTATATTGACGTCAACGCCGTCCTTGATGGCTCTCACATTGATTTTTATTTCATTTTCCTGAAGATTGTTCTGTTGGATGTTCAAGGAAAGTTGAACAATTGATTTCCTTTTTTAATTTTTATTCCTTTGGACGGGGAGACGGAGCAAAATACACACTCTTACTTCGTGCGCAGATACCATCGACCAGGTCTTCCTTCTCCTTTTCTCCGTTCCTTCTTTGAATTCAAGCTTCATGGACTCACATTAGTCATCCCCTTTGTATCTACAAAAGGGAGATTCAATGTTTTCCGCATCGCCAGGAAACTGGAGTTAGAAATTTATGAAGCGAATCTGTTTTCAGAGGGTAAGAATCTTCCCCAATTGCTTTTAGTGCGAAGCCCTGATAAAGAAATTTGAGTAGATGGAATCTTGTACAGGGAAGGGGTAAAAGAAAAGGAAGAGGCTTTACTGGACGTCTTCATTTCCTTAGAGGCAATAGATTAATTGTTAATTTCTTGGGAGGACTTGTAGTCGCCCAAGAATCATCTCTAAGATAGACCAGACCAGCCATTGACTTTAGGGAGATTCCTGAAAATGTGGTTTTTGAGGACATTTAATTTGAAAGATTGTTTTCCCTATGGCAAAAAGGCTTCACACAATTCTTCATTTAGTTTTCCGAAGTTTATATTGTGAGAATCAAAGTGCGAGTAATCCAGGGAAAAATTATTTGCGAGTTCTAGACTGATGGCATCAGAAATTTATTTTAATCTAATGTTTACATGTAAGAATATTAGGCCACTACGTTCAACCAGCACGGAATCAGGCCTAAATAGGGGAGCATTCGGTATCAGAATACTCTCGTCTTCACGTGACCCTGAAGAGAGATGCCTAGGTGCTGCAAAAAGAACGCGTCTTATCTCTGAATTTCCATAAATTATTAACAAAATGAAAATGGTAGGAACTGGAATTCGCGGAAATTGAAACAAAGGCCATGAAGGTTTACTGCCAAAAAGTCTCACTTGACGCGGATCCCACATTTTTCACAATAGCCTAGTTCTCAATCAAATGTAGTCCAACTTGTTTTCTTTCTTTCTGTCAATTTATTTTCATTTGACAAGGCATCGGTCATGGAATAGCAAAGAGGGAAACAATAAAGGAGACAGACAGGAAGCGGAAATTGGAACGAGGAAATCATACATATTCGGGTGACCGAATTAATTGCGCTGGGGCGTGGCCGATTGCATAAAGTCCTCACGCGTCACCTCCCATCTCATCAGTCGAAGAGATGGCCGGGTTCCAGTTCAAGTATATCGTCGCGGCAGCCTTAGCATTCGGGGTCTGCTGGGGAATCCGGAGGCGAACCGGTTTCAGATGGGTCAGAAACGAAGCCCTGGGGTCGAACGGACAAGTGCGACTGTATTGGACGCCGAGGTTTCACAGGGGAGACATCGAGTTCTTGTTCGTTGCTCCTAGCACGGGATGGGTCGGAGTGGGTTTCTCCCCCAACGGCGAGATGTATGGGGCCGACATGGTCGTGGGAGGAGTCAGCAACGGGACGGCCTATTTCGCCGTGAGTCTCCCTTCTCTCGTGTAGGATTTCGTGCATGTCCCGGAAAGAGTTTTGGCTTAACCACGAACGAAGGAAAAAGGAAAAGCCTGTAATTGGAAATCGCAGTGCTATTAAACTCAATAGTCAGAGGGATTTTCATTGTCACATTTCCTTTTCCAAGATTTTCTTATTACGTTGCATTCAATTTTCTACTGTTATTGTTGCTGAATCAAATATATCGAATCAAAGTCAATTGCAGGGGAACACTTATGTGACCCAAATTTGATCTACAATACCACGTTCCATAATTCTCTCAGTGTCAATAAACAAGAACAGGTGCGCAGGCAGTTCTCAAGTTGGTTTTAAAAACAGTTCCGGCGCGTTTAAAGTCACTGTGACGTATGAAATATTCTGTGAATTATTATTCCCTTTTAAATAATCGGCTTGAAGAGGTAAGTCGTATTTCACAACACTTCCCACAGTTTACATTTACATCAGTTCATTCTATTTTCATTTTCACTTAAAAAATCCATAGAAAGTTCTTCGTTGGATAGTTAGTTAGATGTGAGAATTGAAGGGGTGTTTAGAGATGGAACGATAAGGTTCAATATGTGAGAGGCCTTCCCTTGATAGGCCCTTTTTTTTCCACGTAACTAATGCTTAGAATAGGGAGGAAATGCCAGCAAAGGAAAAAGCTCATAAGCGATGCTGGCAAGTTGAACGATAACCGTTGAAGGTGACCGAACGTGAGTACTCCTATTGAGTTCCTTACGCGCGAAATAGCGGGTGGAGCCACCACGACCGGCCGGGTTCACTTCATGACGGGCAATCCTTTGGATGCCAGCAATCGTGGATAATTCTCGTTGACAGAGGTGAGGGTTCGATCGGATGCTTCTGGAGGGATTCCGTCTCCGAGCGGAAAATTTTCCATTTTATGCAGCGAGAAATACAGCGTTCGACTTAAGATTTCATTCTCACGGTTGCACCAAATTTTGGCAAATAGAGGAAATGATATAGAGGTGATTTTCGCCGAACGGGAGACGGCGCGGAGGAGCCGGTACGCATTCCTTTTTCATCTTTCAAGATGAAAACCAGGTACCTCCAGGGGCGCTTGCATCTTTTAACATTGCAATCCCAACCGGGATATTTCCCGATTATTACATTGCTGAGGCTCTTCTCTAGCAATGGGTTTAAAGAATCTCAAGATTTCTTTAAACACATTCCTGTAATTTTGAGATGAATCGCAGGAACGTCTGGAGGTCAAATAGGTTAATTCCCAAGCATTCCACGTGGAGTAATTAAAATCCTTTTCCACACAGAGCCTCTACAAAATGATATTTAATTTTCCCGATGAAGCCTGATCGTTCTGGGCGTGGTCGCGCCTTTAATAAGCTCAGCATTATTCCGGCCGGTTGACCTCAAAGAATCCGCCGGAAACCACGCTGCATAAGGTCCCCTTCATCATCCTCACGCAAAAACTCACCTAGTGATTCGCTTGGTTCTCGAATTAATTACTTCGGGTGTCCGGAAATTTTGTGAATCATTTGTAAATATGTAATTCTGCACGCAATGCTCTTCCCACTGCTCAGGTATTTAGATCAATATGTAATCTCTGTGATTGCTGATTTTCAAGTCAATCCGTTGGAAAGTGCTTTCAGACCAGACCTCAAATGACAGCCCTATAAGCTCAGTGCAACTCGGGCTGTTATCAACAAGATGTATATGACTACAAGCACTGAGAACTTTCACTTCTACGCGTTCACGTGATTCAAACTTGGCAGTGCGGACGCTGCCTGTTACACGGAACGAGCTTTTTCAAAAGGCCTTGAGCTTGTTGCAGAAAGCCTCCACGCCTTTGCAGAAATTAATGACCCGGATATGCCCAGGATATGCTTCGCGCCGTTGACGCGGGCCTCGTTGTTGTCCTCGGTAACTTGATGTGGTACTCAAATTGATGCCGCGTTACGCAGTTGCAGGTCTTGTGTGAGCACCTCTTGTCAACGTCGAGGCCCTCATCCAGCTCTCGAGTAGTTACTTGCCAGTCTTCATCCACCTGCTCTCTCACCGTCTCGACAAGCTCTGGTGTCTGGGTGGACCTCGGACGGTTAGTNGTCTCGACAAGCTCTGGTGTCTGGGTGGACCTCGGACGGTTAGTGTGAGGTTGGTCAAGAAAGGAAGGCTCCTTCTCCGTTTCAGCTGCTTCTCTGAAGCTGCTGAGCCAACGGAAGACAGTAGACTTGACATACATAGGGACCAGTTCGGTGTAACAGGCAGCGGCCGCAATGCCAAGTTTGAACCACGTGAACGCGTAGAAGCAAAAGTTCTTTACGCTTGTAGCGATATACAAATTGATGAAAACAACCCGCGTTTCACTGAGCTTATAGAGCTGTCTTTTGAGGTCTGCTGTGTAAGCACTTCTCAACGGATTGACTTGAAAATCGGTAATAAGAGAGATTACATATTGATCTAAATACCTGAGCAGTGAGAAGTGTAGCTTTTAGAGTTACAAATTTACAAACGATTCTCCTTACTTTCCGGACACCCGAAGTATTTGCAAAATTGGAAATAAAATAGCAGAATTCTCCGCCATAACCCTTAACATTGAAGTGAAATGCCCTGCGTTATCTTGCCTGCATAAAAATGTCATCGATGAGAAACGTCATCGAAGCCACGGGAAGAAAAGGTGAATAATGTCATTGTAATTGGAATGAAAGGATGTGATTCATCTCCCGTTTCATTCACGATGTGAATGCGGTCATGCGCAACAACCAACATGAATCCCCACTGACGGGGAAAGAGCTTATGGTTCAGGAATAATAATATCTAACCGTTGTCCTGTCGGTCTGTCCGTCCGTCCACCGGAAGCCACCAGGGACCGACTTTTCCGAACAACGACCCGCGGTTCGGGTTTGATGATCCGCGTCGGGCCGATCGGACCTGTCCCCAGCCCGTTGAGGCCTCGAAGCTCGAGAGCAGGAGGTCTCTGCAGTTTCGTCCGCACCCAACAGGAAACTCGATCGTCAACAGAGCCACGCGCCCGATCCGCGGGTCGTGTCGGTCCGATCGAATCGATCTGTATCCCGTGCAGAGCTCGGAATCGTCCCTTATTCCTCTCCTTTCATTCTTCGCGGAATACCGGGGTGATCGAAATTCGAACGACCTGTCACTCCAATGCCAGGATCTCGCTGAAAATTTGCTTACATATAGTCGGGGCTGTCTAATGACGCAAGCATCACCTATCATTCATCCAAAGCAATCGCTATTTCAAATTTCAGCCAAGCAGTTTGTTTCTTATAACCTGTCTAGTCACTATCACTAATACGTTCCTTTGTAATTAAAAGAAGTGAATAAAGAATAAGATAACAAACGAAGCTTTTGCTGTTCTTTGTGGGTGGCATGAAGTCGCGTTTTTGGCGCTCGACACACCGTGAACGTTTCAAATTCGACAATAGTGCTCGGTATGAAGCAACAGCGTCGCTAAAAGTAGGTCCACTTCGCGTGACCGTTTCGGCAAGGGCACAGTTACTTCGTATCCAAAGTCCATCTGGTTGAGTTTTGTGCCCGTATGGACGTGGGGAGTTGAATAAGGAGAGTTGCGAGTTGATTCCATTTGGCTCTTCCGGCAACCGCCACGAGGAAGCTTCATATGAAGCTTCCTCATGATGTCTCGCAAGACAGGAAATCGGATACAATCCCTTATTATTGATTGCCGATATGAATTGTTCACTTCCCCTTGCATGGATCCGCTCTTTTTCCTTTCTCTACTCCCGTCATTGCATTTATGAACTCCAAAGCCTCCATTTACGGAGTCAGGGCCGAGTGCTGAAACCTCATGGAGGTGAAACGTCCTCATACCCTTTGGCCGAATAGTTTTTTTTTAACCATTGGAGTAGAGGATTCCTATAATCCGTTAACTGAAAAATATTGCAGTATTCGGAACTCACCCTTCGACCGGAAATAAAAATGCAGTTCTCCGTAGCCTCCATTCCGGGGTAAGCAATAATGAGTTTCCTTCCTGTCTTTTAGTCCCTTGAAATGCACATGCCCGAAAGTACAAAAACTAAGGTAAAGGCCCAGCGGAATTAAGCCGGTGAAGCGGAAGAGGGTGATGCAACCCATGTAATTACATCCTATTTATTAAATGGACCAGATGTCGATGATGCAACTAATTGTTATCTGCCCCAAGGATTCACCGGTGCAAGATTAATCCATCCGGCGGATTATCTGCCACACCGAAGAGAAACAATGGACGCAGCCGGAAATCGTTTTTTTTTCATTTTACCTAAAGCCGTTTGTTCTCCCGTGACAGGATCGCTATTCTTCTGAGAACACCCTTCCTGAAGTGGACAGACAACAGAATTACGAATTTATTCGTGCCATGCAGAACGGGACCCACACCTGGCTTCACTTCTCTCGGAGGATCATTACCCCGGATCGGGTGCAGGATTATCAAATTACGGTAATTTTCATTCCTTTTCGTTTTTTACAAGTGATTTAACTGCAAGCTGAAACTGACAATGAAAGAAGCCAAACGGTTTCTTCCATCCACAAAAAGATCCAAGTCCATTTTTATTATGCCTTCGCATGCAACTCTTGCATGTGCCTTACAGGTTTGGAACTCTTACAGGAGAGAGGCAGATCCACTCGATAATGACCCAAGCTTTTCCTTGCACTCACAGATGTTGACGTTCACCAGCGTTTGTGAAATGTGAAAGCTAATTACCGTAATTAAAATAAGTATAGGTCTCCTTACTCTGAATTATGCACACCGCTTTCAGTCTTGCGTTTCTCGAACTTAGGCCACCTGCGTGTTCGTGTTAAATCAATATTCATGAGCTCATTAGTTGACAATAATTACCTATTTCCTGGATGCAGCTTTTTGTATTAATCGACCCGACTCCGTAAAATATCACCTGCCTGAATCATGATGAAAGATCCAGTTCTTTTCAAGGAATAATCAGCAACTTCAATTAATTTGACCAAAATGCAATTGAATGAGGAAAGAAAAGCTTGGGGAGGACTTTGAAACCAAAACGATCAAATGCATGATGAGAGAAAAAAAGGAGGAATTAGGACGGAGCGGAGCGCAAAAAAGGTAGATTGATAGGAGAATAAAGAAACATGCCGTTACTGATCGATGCGATTTCAGGACGCGCCTGTGGAGATCATCTGGGCATACGGAGATAAGGACCCAGGGATCCTGGAGCAACCTCACTATCACTTTCGCAACCGGGGGGGACGCCGCCTGTCCATCCTCGACGATTTCCCCATCGCCCTTCTGGAAGATGCAGTGGAGGATCCATCGAATAACGGAACGGAGAGCATCGAATGAGGACGTCAGCATTTTCACCTCCCCGATACCCGACTGCCGAACGGCTCTTCTCGTCGCTTCCGATGTGGAAGTTCACGTCGTCACTTATTCACCGCACCACAATTTTAAAAATATGTTTATCCTTCGTCTCCAGTCTTCGCCGAATTCTTACTGACCCTCGCGGATCGTTCGATTCGGCAGCATTCAATTCCATGACAAATGAAGTTCAAACTTCTGATCTAGCAAATATCGGGCGCATTTCATTTCGGCGACGCCAGCCCTCTAGGATTCTCCACCACGGGACTCGATCACCTAGACCGTGCCGATGACGCCCTGATTCTCCAGATGAAAACCTTTTTGGGATTAGAGCTAACCCGTGTTTAAATTAAGTCGTGGGACGAACCTATGTGAACTGGCGGGCGATCAGTTTCTTTTTGTTATCTTAATCGGACAGTGCCCTTCAGAAAATAGGAACACTCTCATTTTAATCGAGGGCCACAAATAGTAAGTACCACTATGACTAAACTTCAGTTTCTACATGAACATCTTTCAATTCGAACCATTTGCCTAACTGCGACTGAACTTCCAATCTGCGCTAGCATGTTCATCTCTTGGTATAGTCTCGAGATGCTGGATAATGGAGGATCCCAAGCCATCACGAAATTGAAACCTGCACCAGGGGAGGAAAGTTCCTGCACTTACAAAGGAAAAAGTAGTCTCCCAAGGCTTAATGCGGATTTTAAGGAGGATCTGGCGCTTTTCGCAGCCAAGTATGGTGATGGTTGCAGTCGTGATGCTTCCTGCGTTTGGGCGAGCGGCACCGATCGCCCAAATGTCTGAATGTATTTGACCTGTAACTGCGACGCATCGATGCATCGGATGCACCAGAATTGCGCTTCCCAAACGAGACAGATTGAACTTTACTGCAGACTTTTCAATGCAACATTTATTGGGAGATGAAGACTCGGCACGTTACCATTGCAGTGATACATTCATTTAATGGGTGATATAAATGCATCGAGGTCTCCTCTTACGTTTCAGAGAGCTCGCCTCGGCAGCTTACAGGTCTTTTTATGGAAGTTTCAAGAGACGGGAAATTCACTCGAAAGAAGCTTTTCGTCTCGCTCAGATGCTCATGAATCATGTCATGAATAGAACCTACAGATTGCCTCATCAACCTCTTCCATTCAGCAGCATCGAGGTACTACGGGAATATGAAAATCGACCCCCTTAAATCTAAATTCCGTTTTATAATTGTTGTAGGGGACATCGAGAAAGGGCCTTAGAGCCGATTGCTGACTCTCTCAGGTCACCTCCGGGGGCCATGATCTGTGGTCAAAGGTCAAAATGTGCATGCTTCTCTTTGAAAATCTCCATCTCCCCAACCCTTGGTGGCAGAAATGTCAAATTTGCACCGTTCTCCTTGAGACATGCAGCACTAAATGGAAGAAATAAATGCACGTATTCATCTGTCGTTCCCGAGACGCCGTGACGCCATAACCGAGAATTTTTCTGTTTTCGGAGTCGGTTTTTTCGCTCTCATTCCTCGTAGAAATTTTATATCGGCAAAAGCATGCTACTGTTTCTTGAAGCTGATATGGTCCATTTTTTGCGGAGTTGCGCATGGTTTCCTCCTACCGTTCCCCCTCAGTGTTCGAGCTGGCCATGCTGACCATTTCTGACCGCGATCTCAATCCATCTATTTTTATTTTCTCTGGGGATACCTGAAGGACTGAGTCTCAGAGTCAACCTTAATTCCATGTACGTTCAGAGACCTGAAGGCGGCCATAAAACGTGAAGTTATTCCATTTTCCTGGATACTCTGCAGGCAATTGTGATACACCACATTCCTGCTACATGTAATTGCGCACAGAGGAGGACACATTGAACATGTTTTTTCATAGAACATAAAGATTCCAAGTTCATGGATTCTTTATGCTAAATTTCAAGCATCTAACACTGTTCCAAGATTATTATTATTTATAATGGTCCCATGAATACAAAATCACCTTGTATATGAAAGTTGGTGCATTTCACGTATAATGCTATCGCGTGGACCTGAGTGTTCCTGGTCCACCGCTATTGCCTTGAAAAGAAACCATGGTGCTCCTTCGTTCTCATTGGCTCAGATGTTTCAAGCTTCTCAGAAACAACGTGGGAGTTTCCTGAACGAAGGTTCTCCGCTTTCGAGACCTTAATATCAATCTGTGACAAATCATCGCGCCGGTTCATCGAAAGGATCTTTTAGAACAGAAAAAAAGGTAAACGTAGGTTTACTTTCGCAGGGGAGCGTCTTAAAACTTCCAGGAATGAAGTTCGTCAACGATGAAATAATTGTAATCGGACGGGAGGGCCTCGACATTGACAGTCTCGAGACGAAACATATGGCACTGTCCCTTGTCATCATGATGCCTTCCGAGAATCCAGTTCGTCGACGCGTTCGTAAATATGGCCACACAGACACACGCTCTCAGACACACAGACATAGTACATTCGCCGTTCAAAGTGGCACTCTTAGTGTGTAGGAGGTGGTGAGTCGAAATCCGTTTGCTCTGCATTAAATATTTTTTACAAATTTTTGCTTCGAAAATATTGAATAGTTCGTGCTATGAGGGCATATTAACCCAAGGTCGGGGGAAAGAGGGTGTTCTCTATGAAAATCATGTTTCTCATCAAAGAAAAATTTTTAGTGCAATGGAACTCAAATATAAGAGAGAATCCAGAAGCTTTCGAACCTCAATAGAAAAATGCTGCACCTCTATATATTCAGCTGATGTGAGCGATGAGGAGTGGGGACGATGTCTTACGGCGATGATGAAGCAATGGGGAGTGGTGAAAATTGTCATGCTTTTTTTAAAGGCAAACAGGCCAAAATGTAGCCATCGGCGCTAGGAATAGACCAGCTGTCACGCCTCTGCAGGTTAGAAAGTGAAGCGCAAGAGGAACCGCACTCGATTCGAAACGTTTCAGGGGCTTCAGGGTAAACATAGGATCGCTTCCGTTCGTATCGAAATGGCTATGTGTGACTGCATTCTATACGAAAACTAAATTTATTTTTCGCCGTGCATTGGAAACTACACAATGACACGAGTATGACACGTAATTCGTGTCATACTCGTGTCAAATGATGCGTAATTTTCTGCACCACGATTCGCCGCTGTTTCCTCAAGGGTGAAACGTCCGATGCGTTGTTCAACATCTGAACCTCCGCCAACCTGGTTTACCGGGTGCAGTCTTGGAAGGTGAACATCACGGATGTGTTGATTGAGGTTGAAGTGATGACGAAATGGTCCACGGTTGCACTGAGGACAATATTCGGTTCTGAAATATCAGGAAAAGATAGGAATAATATGTTTCCGCTCTTTCTCTTTAATGCGTAACAGAGATAAGGCATCTTACCGTTTCATCAAGAGGAATTCTAGGAGAAGCCTTCAGCATAATTCCTGTGTGGCCCCAATAAAAGGACACACTGGTGGTCCCGTGGGATCCATACCATAGCAAACATGTTAAACTGGTACACATGAATGGGGAAGAGCGAATAAACATTGGTTTGTGAGTGGATCCCCAGAGTTTCTCACTCACGGGCGAAGACATTTCAGGTCACATTCTCGCTATGAATTTCAAGCAAGACTTACAGTGGGCTCCGTGAGAAGTTCCATGAAACGGGAAGTGCTAGATTGCGATTTATTTAGTGCTGCTCAATGGTCTTGAATGTGATTTAAATGTCACCACGGTTAAAACTTAGGGGTCGTAATTCTGGGGTGCATCAATGCGAGGAAGGTATTCGAGACCATGCAGAAAGAGAGTCATGCTTAATATCGATGTGCTCGGTATTCACTTGCAAAAAAAGAGAACTTAGAAGGAAATCGAACCGAAATATATCTAAAAATAAAATGAAATAATTTTTGTCGATAGTGCTAGATTTAACTTTACATAACTTTACATAGGGGGCTTGTATTTTCTCAGGCGTATATTCAAGTGAAAGAGAAAATCTCTACCGACTGATATGTCAATATTTCCAATTTCGATTAAAAAAAAACTCGTGAATAAGAGATCCTCACAATGCCATCAATGTTGCCTGCCATTCGACAGTGCTTGCATTAAGAGTTCAAACTGGGCCATAACGCAACGAAGGCGGCTGAGAACATCAACAAGGCATTCGGTGACCATAATGTTCGCATAGCCCAACTTTGGTTCCCAAAGTTCCGCGCTGGACACGAGAGCCTTGAAGTGGACCCACGCTCGGGAAGGCCTTCCGTGATTGATGACTGCCTTGTTGTCGCTCATTGAGTGCGACCCCCGCCAAACGCTATCAACTTTATCGCAGAACCTCAACTGTTCTATAGCCACCGTTGATGGCCATCTGCATGCTCTGGGCAAGGTGCGCAAGCTGGAGAGATGGGTGCCTCACCGACTGACCGATGACAACAAGCTCCAGCGTCTGACAATCTATTCCTGACTGCTTACATGCCAGCGAAGAGACCAGTTCTTGAACCGCATCCTTACCTGTGATGAAAAGTGGATCTTCTACGATAACATCAGACGTTCACACCAGTGGTTATCCCCCAACGAGCCCCAGCACCCCACGCTCAAACCCGACCTTCATCCAAAGAAACTTCTTCTGTGTCTGGTGGACAATGGCGGGAATGGTACATTTCGAGGTCCTAAAGGTGGGTCAAACGATCACTGCCGATATCTACTGCCAAAAACTTCAACGAGGTAACCAAGCCCTGCTCAGAAAGCAGCCATCTCTGGTCAATAGGAGACAAGCTCTGTTGCTCCACGTCAACGTTCGTCCTCATGAAGCGAAAAAGACGCTGCAACAGATTGACAGCCTAGGTTGGAAGTTCTACCCCACCCTGCACCTACTCCCCTGACTTCTCCCCCACGGACTACCACTTGTTCTGATCCCTTGGACACTACATGAGAAAGAAGCAGTTCCAAGGCCAAAAAGAGGTTGAAAATAACCTGCAACAGTATTTCGAATCGAAAGATTCTGCTTTCATAAAACCGGTATTCCTGACCTCATGCAACGATGGACGACGGTTGTCGACAATGATAAGAGATAATTTCGTTTAAGAAAAGTTACTAGAAAAAAACTGCTCTTTTGAAAATGCGGTTACAATACGAAAATACATTTGCAGAGACCTGATACTTCGAAGTGCTTCCTGCCAAAACCACCGTTGACGCAACACTCTACTGCAGTCAGCTGGAGA